CAATGACATAGCTCATCTTTCTGCTTTTGTGACTCCGTAATCAAGAAAAAATCTTCTCTAAATTTCTGCATCCCAGTTTTGTTTCTTCCTCTAACTCAAGAAGTCTGTTTTTTCTTTCTCTAGTAACTTACATCATTCTTCTAATTATTCCAAAATTGGGACATTTCACAATACTTTTCTTTAGGGTGATCTGTTATATTGCACTAAGGAAGCATTTTTATATATTTCTAGGTTGTTCTATGAGTTGTTATCTTACCATTTTCAGCTATTCAAGTCCTCCATCATGTCATTTCTGCCCTGCATGAAATACAGCTACCTAGGCAACTATTTGCTCATCCATCTAGCTAGCTTCCAAGGAACTAGGGTTGTGTTCGCAGAAGATAAATGCAAGTAAATGCTGGAAAACAGAAAAGCAGTATAGCTTGCCACCATGAACCTTAGAATTCTGCATCTCAAATAAGAAAGTACATTTGCTATCGGGTGTTATCTAACACTGTGCTTTACTGAGGCAAGAAATGCAAATACCTATGAGATGTGGTGACAGGAAAGCTGTGGGAGTCTTGCATTCTAGGTGCAAAATACCCAGAACTCAAATAATGGACTATTTTTTTTACCGAAGAGCCAATATATCAAAGAGTAGGTGTTGAGATTCTGATAAAACACAGATATCTCTGATGTCTTTTTAGAGGAAAGAAATCTACCAAGAATTAAACAATCAGAATTAAACAATTAACAATAAAAACACTAACAAAAGCTTAGTAAAGTCTTCGCATAGAGCCCCAGATGGAGATCTGGCCGCTCTATCTTCCTCCACTTCTTTCTCTAGTATGAAACTCCATACAATGTGAAATCATCAACCTGGGATTGGGAGTCAAAATGATGGCATATATGTCATGAAGTCTTTGTCCAAATGGTACATTTAAAGATGTAATAAAGTCAGATGCAAGTACATAAATCATGATACACATGTTGTCCCAACTTGTTCTCTTTTCCAACAGATACCTGTGGTTTCTGGCCCCTTTTCCTAATGTCTTATGTATTTTATTACCGTATTTTATTTTTATATCTTACTACTAAGTTATGTTTATCATATGTTAAATACATTATGTATAATATTTGCACTGAATTTATATTTTATATCACCAGTTAATAAAAATGTTACATAGATTGATTCTCAGAATGTTAGAAAAGAAGGACATTTCAGGTTTAGAGAATGTTGTTCTCAAGGGCATCCTAGTCTATCTTTAATCTGAAGTTCCTATAAATGAATTCAAAATGTACATACAGTGAACATGTAATAAGAGATATGCATTAACCATAATTCCAAATAAGACTGTACCGCTGTATAGAATTCATCTCCAGATATAGAATTGGGTAGCTTTTTTGTACAGAAAAGGAACATTTTTGCAAGATGAATTCTTTTGAATTTGCAAAATGCAAATCAAGGTGCTGGTCGCTTTCTATAAAGTCCTACATGGCACAGGGCCTGGTTTCTTAATAGACCATCAATCGCTCACAGTATCTACCCAGATGAGTTCAATCTAGCAGAGTTTCAGGTTCCATTAATTAAACAATTCTGTCTTTCTGGATCCCAGAAATGCGCCTTCTCTGTAATAGTACCTGCCCTCTGAAATGAGGTTCTCTGGAATGAGGTTCTCTCAATTCGAATGGCTCCCATCATCCTGGTGTTTCTTAGGGCCTTAAAACCTGCCCTTTTGCCCAGACCTTTGGAGAGAACAACTGCCACCCTCTCTTCCCTTCTGTTCCCTTCTTTGTTTTTCTTTGCCATTATTTCCTTTTATCTTGTGCTGTTTTTAATGGGTTTTATGTTGTTGTTCCTTGTTTTATTATTTTTTAACAATTATAAACTGCTCAGTGTCGTTGGGAGTGGGACAGTGTATAAATTTAATAAATTATTATTAGTAATAGTAGTAGTATTTCCTGATATTTCATTAGATGTATAATCCAAAACTGCAAAAACTGTAAACATATTTTAGCAGAAAAAGAAATTAGTTTGTATTAGTTTTGAGTGACTTATGTTTAATGAAAAGATCCCTAGCCTAAGTGGGGATGGGAAAAACCAAATAATTTGCTGTCCATTCCTTCATTCTGTTATTTGGACTACAAAAACAAAAAAACAAAAAAAAACCCCAACCCCTTGTTTCTTGTTAACAGATTCTGTCCTGGCAACAGCAATAGCAATTGTGCCTCGCTTACGAAGCACAACCCCCAAGGGGTAGAGGTCAATCCCATTAGTCCATGATTGGACTCCAGTTCAGATGATGCTTATTTTTTAAAGCACATAATTATCAGCTACAGGTAGTCATCAACTTACAATTACAATTGAGCCCAAAATTCCTGTTGCAAAGCAAGGCAGTTGTTAAATGAGTTTTGCCCCATTTTAAAAACCTTTTTTGCCATAGTTGTTAAGCAAATCACTGCAGTTGTTAAGTGAGTCATTAAATGAATCTGACTTCCCCCATTGGCTATGCTTGTCAGAAGTTGTCTGGGAAGATTACAAATGGTGATCATGTGACCAGGGACAGGTGACTGTCATAAATACATGTTATTTGCCAAGTGCCACAGTGTTGATTATGTGACCATGGAGATGTTACAGTGGCCAAAAGTGTGAAAAATTCTCATAAGTTGCTTTTTCCAGTGCCATTGTAACATCAAACAGTCACTAAATAAATGGTTGTACTATTTGAAGTTTATTCTGAACAGGAATGCTGTTCAGAATAGACTCCCTTAAAGTTAAAGCACTAGGTTCGGGATAATTCTGATTTTGTTTAAGGATAGGAAGAGAGTCTAAACAATTAGACAAAATGTCATAAATCACATAATGCACATAAATCCACAATTTATAATTCTAAGAATGATTAATATATAAATAAATCCTAATCAGTTTGTCTCAGCTATGTTCATTTTAAATGAAGCAGAATTGCTAATATAATATAAATGAGATAAATAAAACATACATGACCAATTCCCCTCTTGACTAGGGTGAAAACATATCTCAGGAAAAGCTAGGCCTTAGAAGAATGTTAGAAAAGAAGGACATTTCAGGTTTAGAGAACATTGTTCTCAAGGGCATCCTAGTCTATCTTTAATCTGAAGTTCCTATAAATTAATTCAAAATGTATATACAGTGATCATGTAATAAGAGATATGCATTAACCATAATTCCAAATACCAATTATTTCTTAAACAACAGTCTATCAAATCTGGTTATATCATTATGTTAATAAAATGATTGTATAATTTTAAACCCCTTTTATTATTTTGGCAGCCTGTAATTTAATATGATCGCATTGTTTCAGAGAAAACTAAGTATTTAATCGGAATGTTGTAGTGTAGGCCTTATAATTAAGAATTTGAAAATTACGTGGTTGATTAATCCACACAGCTTCAATCATAAGTCTTGTGCATGTAAATAAAGGAATTACACAAATTCACAAAGCCAAAAGAACAATTTTATTTAAGATATTTTAGTTAGTCAAATTAATTTGGAAAGTAGTGAATGATTTAATTCTAGGTAGGTTTATTCGGAAATGGCCTACTTGACTAAATATGCTTATTTAGGCTATTATTATTATTAGTAGTAGTAGTAGTAGTAGTAATAATAGTAGTAGTAATAGTAGTAGTGTTCCATAGTAATAGTGTTTCACTGATAAATTGTTCTGTCAGGAAATTTCTCCTTAGTTCTAGGTTGCTTCTCTCTTTGATTAATTAGGCTACATAATTACAATTAATTATTAATTAATCACATCAAGGGAATTTTGAAGTTATTTTTTCTTATGTACACACTTACTACTACTGCAAGCTTCATGAAAACAACAGCAGCACACTGTACATCTCTTGCTTTCATCTCTTCAATAGAGCAACAGACTATTGGATAGCATGAAACTTCAGTTTGCTCTAGTATTCTGAGGTTAATGCATTTCCATGTGATAATGATCTTTTCTAGGGAATCTAGTTAGAAGGAGAACATTCTCTAACTTTGTGCTCTTCAGATGACACTATCCTGTTGCCAGTCAGCAAAGCTATCCAAATGATGGGAAAATATTCCAGAACAATGTGGAAGGGAACAGATTGTGGATAGGTGATGTAGATCAATTTCATGCCTGCTTAGATAACTGCATTAGTGGGCCAAAGCACATGATACATAACATTCAAACATTATTTGTTGTGTGTAAAGCTGCTATTGCACAGCACCATTTTCTACAAGCACAATAATAACAGATAAATAACCTACAGTATACTTCTTTAGAAACTGTCCTCAAAAATAAGAAAAAACACATAATTCTTCCCTTCCATAGCTGACGCCAATAACAGAATACATCTTCTATATGAGATTGGCACTACTATTGACCCATCTGAATTCTTGAGGCTATAAATGCCAAGCACAATTTATAGGAAATGATATTACCCAGACAATTGGCTCTAGGATAATATACTTAATTTTAAGATGGACCATGGATCAAATTTAGACTATAATGACTCTTTTATCCACCCTAAAATCATGCCAAAAATCCAATTACATTTAACAAAGCTCTGATCCTACTGTAGAAGGACTTAACTAAGCATACAGAAAACCTATTTTGCTGATTCAGTGTTGGATTCTTGACAGCCTTGCATATACTTTAGAAATAATTGGGGAAAACGTTCATATCAGTTTATGGTACAAACCTTGTTTTATAGAGGCCATGTAATAGCAATATCCAGAAAGCTACTTAGTAAGGCAGAGCTGCCAAAAATTATACGCAAACTATTACAAAGTTTAGTGCCAGCATAGTTTTCTCCCTATAGGTGTTGGGATTAAAATTCCCAAATTTCCCATTCAGCATGGCTAAATTTCAATGAGATAAAAGAGGAGGCAAGTCTACTCAATTTTTGACTTTTCTGAAAAACTGGAAAGCAGAAGGAGAATTTGTACAATACATAAACTATGAAAAGAATGTGTCATTGCTTCACATCAAAAAGCATATTATAAAAAGTACCTGAGAATGTTTTGACACCCAGTGGCGAAGGACATTCAGGACACGATTAGTGGCTGCACGACGTATTATGAACTCCTTATCCCATATTCGTTCAGAATTATTAAATCCTACACAATTTAAAGGAGATATACAATAAAATAAAATCAATTAGATGGAGAAAATTATCAAAGTAAAATTCTTCACAATATAGCTTCATTTGATAAAACAATGTTTTAAAAATTATTTTCATTGTTGACATACAAAGAATTTTGAAAATTTTGGTTACACACATACATTAAATGATACAACATATTTGCAACTGCCGAAAAAGAATTTCCTGCATTTATAAACAAAATGTCTGATTGAATTTGCTTCATTTTTCTCTATAATTCTGAATATTATAAACTGAATTCAATATTCTATTATAATATTACACAGCAACATGTGGGTCAGTTTAAAACAAGCACAAGTGTAATTTTTCAAGAAAAAAGGGGGGCGAGCTAAATTCATTGCTCATAACCTATTCCCTGCTACCCACTCAGATTTTTAACTATCTTGATAGACATACATGCAGCTACTGTATCAGTGTAGGGAATATAGCTAATATTCCCTATACCAAATAATCTCAAATTCTCATTGTATGATTTTCTCCAAAACTACTAAGAGGCAGGCTCAGGAGCATACCTAATGCCGTCAAAGAAGTTTTTTCTGACCGTATCCAAGCATGAACTCCTACTGGTAAATAGTCTTTAACATGCCAGTTCTTTGTGGTTTCAAACATTGGTAGTTAAGGATCAAATAATTAAGGGTAACAATTTCCTTAATACATTAATGTAATTACTTGCTCTCAATATGTTGTTTCTGTTAATAATGTAACCATTTCGTTTATGGATCACTGAAGTCTCTGATCATTTTTCAAAGGCAGAGATGCAGAGTGTATTAACAGTATTTCAGATAGCACATATTTAATATACAGTAAATTGAATAAAGGCATTATCTAGCCACAAAATCCAACCCAGATTCAGACTGGTTCCAAGATAGCCATCAGATGATAAACTTGTGTTTTCAAAGCAACAGTGCATTATAGAATTTAGCACATTTAACTGCAACAATTCTATAAAATAAGATAAGATAACCTTTATTGTCATTTCTATACTGTGGGCACGATGGCACACATCAAAAATGAAATTTAGTTGCCCGTTCTCAAAGTGAAACATATACATGACACACACCTAAACATACTATGAACAACATATGTATAGACCCACATCCCTACATGTATGTAGCAAATAAATATTAAATATTATCCATCTTGAAAATATAACAGAAGGAGGAAGCTTGAGAGTTCGCAAGGTTAATGCTGTATGGAATGAAACTCTGGCTGAATCTGGATGTTCTGCTTCGGATACCATGAAGCCTCCTCCCAGAAGGTAACAAGGAAAACAGGTCGTGAAGAGGATGTGTAGTGTCCCAGATAATCTTACGGATATTGCTCAAGCAGCGCTTCTGTGCTATGTCCTGGATGGGAGGGAGGGAACTGCCAATGATCTTTTCGGCCATTCTCACCACTCTCTGCACCGCCTTTCTGTCTGAAGCAGTGATGCCTCCAAACCAGACTGTGATGCTGTATGACAGGATGCTCTCGATTGTCCCCCTACAGAAAGTGGTCAGGACAGGGGAAGGAAGATGTGCTTTTCTCATGCGGTGCAGAAAATGCAGGCGCTGCTATGCCCGCTTCACCAGTTTCTCACTGTTGAGCAACCAAGTCAGCCTACTTGTTAGCTGCACACCCAGGAATTTGATGCTGGTAACCGTCTCCACAGGTGAATCATTTATGCACAGAGAAGTGTGGCTATGCCTGCCTTTTCTGAAATCAACAATGATCTCTTTGGTTTTTCTGGTATTTAAAACTAGGCTGTTTTCCTTACACCAGTTCACCAACCCTTCAACCTCCTTGCGGTAAGCATCTGCAAACTTCACAATATGGTTGGTAGCAAATCTAGCACAACAGTCATGGGTCAACAGGGTGAACAGCAGCGGACTTAAGACACAGCCCTGTGCTCAAGAAAATGGTATTAGAGGTATTTGTTCCAACTCGCACATATTGGGGCCTGTTGGTAAGAAAATCAAGAATCCAGTTGCACAAAGGAGGGTTTAAGCCTAAAAGGCCCAGTTTGTCTACTAGATGCTGGGGAATGATTGTGTTAAACGCTGAACTGAAGTCGACAAACAGCAAATGCACATGAGTATTTCTTTCCTCTAAATGCTTCAGGCTCAGATGGAGAACGGAAGAAATAGCATCCTCCGTAAAGATTTGGTCAGTAGGCAAACTGAAGCGGGTCAAAAGCTGGCGGGAGGCTAGATACAATCATGTCCTTTATCAGCTTCTCAAAGGATTTCATGATGGTGGATGTCAGTGCAACCGGATGGTAATCATTGAGGTCTCAATTGTGGACTTTTTTGGCACTGGCAAGATGATGGCTGACTTAAAACACGATGGGACCACTGCCTGTTGCAATGAGAGGTTGAAAATATCTGTGAGAACACAAGCCAGCTCCCTTGCGCATTCCCTGAGGAGAAGTCCAGGGATGTTATCTGGGCCTTCTGCTTTCCGAATGTTAACTGTCTGCAGTGTTTTCTGGATAGAAGTGACATCAAAGCTTGGCACTTGCTCATCAGGATGGGGCACTGCTTTCCTAGCAGGAGTGCTATTTGATGCCTCAAATCTACCAAAAAAATGCATTCAGTTGTTTAGGAAGTCTGTGTCATCCTTGCATCTCGATGGAGCCACCTTGTAATCCGTAATGGCCTGGATCCCTTGCCACATTCGCCTGCTGTTTGTTGGGTCTTGAAAAAAGTTCTGAATTTTCTGGCAATGGGCTTGCTTTGCACCTTTTATGGCACTTTTCAGATTTGCTCTGGCTGTTCTAAGTGCCAGCATGTCACCAGATTTAAAAGCCACATTCCATGCTTTCAGCATCTTGCGGACCTCATAAATCAGCCACAGTTTTTCATTCGCCCTCACAATGCTTTTCAGGACACAGACATCTTCTATGCACTTTTGGGTATATGCAGCACCGTGGTGGCATACCCCTCAACATTTGTATGTTGGTTATCAGTAGCTACTTCATGCCCCAATCTGTGCATTCAAAGCAGTCTTGTAGTGCTTCTGTAGCTCCTTCTGTCCAAACCCTCACCTGCTTTACTGTAGGTTTCACTCTGACCAATAAAGGTTTATATGCGGAATAAGCAGCACTGAGAGATGGTCAGAGGAGCCCAGGTGAGAGCCGGGGATAGCTTTGAAAGCCTTCTTGATGTTGGAATAAGCAAGATCCAGTGTATTGTCCCCTCTGGTTGCAAAGTCCACATATTCATGGAAATGTGGCAGGGTAGCTTTCAAATCCACTTGGTTAAAGTCACCCACTGCAATAAATGCACCCTCTGGGTGAGTAGTTTGTAAGCCACTGATGGCATGACAGAGAATCTTCAGACCTCTTCTCTGTTTGCATCAGGGGGGATATACATAAATGTATAGATTATATCTATTTCCCATAACTGGTCCATTTTCCCCAAACCAAAGTTCAAGATATGGGCCAAGAAGCAAGAGAAATAATTTGCTGGTTGTCATTCACATGCAACCATTGCATTCCTCACATCTTTTAATAACCACTAAAGCTGAGTGTCCACGTGAGCATAGTCTGTGCATCTGTTCAAACAAATTAGATATCCCCAAACGTTTGATAGGCAGATGCTATAGCTACCAGGCTTCACTCTATTTATAGCATTTAAAGCTGAATGTGTACAGTATATTGCCTGGGTCTACAGTTTTCTTAGTAAGATTTCAGAATTAGTTACTATTGCCTGCTTCCTAGCACTCAGAGACAGTAACTGGCTTCATGCTGAAAGGACGACTAGAACTCATGTTCTTCTGTTTCTAGCCTGATGCCTTAGCCACTATACCAAACTGATTCTCTTAAAGCTGAATAGACATACCGTATATTCTGGCGTATAAGACGACTTTTGAGAGCGTCGAAACAGCCTCCGAACTCAGGGGTCGTCTTATACGCCGAGTCGTCTTATACACCGGAAATAAGGTAGTTTCTGGCATATAAGACTATTTTCTAGGCATGCGACTCGGCGTCGATCGTCTTGCGACTCGGCATCGATCATCTTGCGACCCGGCGTTGAACTAGGAGGTCGTCTTATACGCCGGGTCACCCTATACGCTGGAATGTACGGTATGTAAACAGTTTCATATCAGGGAAACTTCAAAATTGTTTCCATATTTAGAAAAAGAACACTCTTTTCTCGTCAGATTTCCTACAGTTGGGATTGGACGGACTTATTCTACTCTGAGGGAGAAAGTTTAGCTTCTTTTCAGCACTACTATGACTGATTTTAAGACAGACAGCCACTTGAAATGTAGGAATCTTTGTGCTACTTATTGCACTGCTTGCAGTACACATATTGTGGTCATATTACACAGAATTAGAGGTGGGATTTTCTGTTTGTATGGCTCTATCATTTAGCTGGGGACTAAACAAGCCAACTTTCAACATTTTCTAGTTTTATGATGAACCTCCATCTAGCATTCTGTGTATTATTCAACATGATAAAATCAAAGCTACGCAAGTTGAATGCAATCTTAATGGTTTATTTTGAAGAAGATGTGCCATCGTTGTACTTAATTATTACTGGAGTTGATAGTCTTAGTATGCAAAAGGAAATAAAGGGAATCCTGAAAATGTCAATCGTGTACTATATGTGTGAACTAATTCATAAAAGAGCCTTAAGTCAATATCATGCAGCTACACAAATTTATAGAAAGCTACCAGCACTTTAAATATTCTACTTAAACATATTAGTTATAAAAACATAAAAAAAATAACCACTACAGTTATCAAGGGCTTGAAAGAAATGTTAATAAATGATAATTTCCTGCCTATAACTAGCCTATAAACTAGGGGTGTCAGTGCAACTCTGCGACAACAATACTTAAAGCAAGTGAACAAAAGACAGTTACATTCAGAATGTTTCAATAAAATAAGCTTAGCAGTACAGACATAGGACACAAACAAAATAAATATTTCTTCTTTTTTTTTCTTTCAACTACACATATCTTGCATAC